GAGGCGGGCTTGGGTCAGATGATGGACGGGGAACAGAAAGACTGATACTTTAGGCTTGTGTCTTCACTGATGGTAACATGGCAGGTCATGAACCCACGGATCACATGGCACAATCCTTTCCGAAGCCTTGAGAGAGTCGTGTGTCTCAGTGGAGAGGGCGGATATCCATGTGAACCGCTGTGTGCATGCCATTTCCCTCCCATCCGCAGAGACAACCTCAGTGATGCACACGGTACGGTTTAGCCACCAAGGGCTCCCTTGTTTTGCACCTTTGATCATTTTCCGTGCAGGTTTTCTAGGACTGTCCCTCTGTCTCGCTAAGGGATGCTCATCTACCCTCTTCCTAGCTCAGGAGGTTCTTAGGCTGGGGCACTAGTTTCCAGAGCAGTTGTAGCAGCTGTGTGCAGCGTGAGAAACTATTAAGCCTCACACTTGGATTTCCTGTCGCTTTCCTCTTAACTGTGTGTTGTCTCCACACCTTGGTCTTTCTCTGCGTGGGGGAGGCGTAGTTTAGACTCTGGGTTTGTGTGCGGAAAGGCACAGGGGATTATGAAAGAGTCAAAAAGTTGTTCGTCACATACGACCTAGAGAACGGTCTTTTTAAATTTTCCAGACAGTGTATCTTAACACAGCACAGGATGGTCTTGAACTTCCTATGGCCAAGAATGACCTTGAATTCCTGACCTTCCTGCCCCCACCTCTCACTTGCTGGGATTACAGATGTGTGCCACCATAAGCAGTGGAATACTTTGGAGGAGCATGGGAGACAAGCCCTATACCAGCGGGGCTACATCGCCACCGCCAGCCCCACTAACCTGAGCTTCATCCTCTCCTTTCCTAGCCTTTTTCCATAAAACTTGCATTTTAGTAAACAACAGAGAGAAGACATTGACCAAAAAGTCATCTCCTATTCCTGAATTTGAATGCTTTTGGTCAAGTTGATCAAATCTAGTTTCTGAAGGGAGAGGGACCTTGACCTTGCAAATAGAACAATAACTTACATGCTGCTCTGTGACGTACTAGCCCACTGGGAAACTAAGGCCCCATGCCCACTTTGCCCCAGGGCAATCTCCATGTGTTTGACATCACTCTAACCTTCTTGCATAATTTAGAATCCCTATTTTTCCCCTATTTCCCCCCCTAAACTTGAAACACATTATTAAGAATTCAGAACTCAAGGCTTCTTGTGCAAAGACAATTGCATGGCCTGGTTACAGTTTTAGCTCTGTCAAGCTTCACATGGGTTTGAAAGGACACAGGTCTGTACCTGGGTCCCTCCGATGACTGGCCTGGGATGGGCAGTCACAGGGTTTGAACCAGTGCCAATGTGATGTCAGGCGTCTACAGGATGAGATGGGAAAAGCCAATACAAAATGCTGGGACATTAGGAAGTGCCTGCGTGTTGAGGAGAGTGGGAAGGCAAGCCAGCCTATGACACCAGTCATGCATGGGGGGAGTGGGCTGGTTTACATTCAGGATCTTGCATGCTTTGGTTAATAGTCATAGGCAGATTGTAAGCACTGATACATGCAGTGGTTTTTGTACCTGAGGTTATATGTTTTGCCTTTTTAAAAATCGCCTTTTTACAAACGTTATGCCAGAGTTTGTCTATGAACACTCTTTAAAAATATATGTAACTACTTCTTAATTCAAAACAGCTTAATTCAGCCAGTCCTATAAATAGTGAGGTGAGAAGGGCATTGTGCAGGATCATTTGCACGGGGAACCCGTTGGAAGCTATGTTACAAGGTTGAAGTCATGGGTGTTGCCGGTGTCTCCATTTTCAAAACAAGAAGTCTCAGAAAGATGGCACATGAATTAAATCTTCCAAATACCTGGTTTCTAGACTGCTTCTAGAAGCTTGTCAGGATAGGAAAGAAATCAATGTCATGACATTTAGGCAGGAGCGATTCAACCTTGTGGAAGCAGTCCAGAGACAAATGAGGACGCACAGTGACCACCCTCTTTCCTTTGGTCCCCCCAGGAGTGCACAGATAAATTTTATACTAAGAGGTTTGGGAACTATGAGATGAGCTACAATTACAGTCAAGCCTTGCCCATACGGCAAGAATATTCCAGAACAATTTACCGATAAAAGAATTTAGATATTGTTCTAAAAGTCGGCATGATCTCTCAGTATAAATAAAAACAGCATTAAGTCTGGGAGTGAGTGTATTCTGGATGTGCCTGCCCGTTCTGGCAGACATTGACTGGCTGAGGAAGTGCACTTCATTGTTAGTCATTAAAGTTTCTGGTGGGTTGTGGGGAGGGGTGTCAGGACGAAACACAGAGAACACAGACTCAGCGAGGCTGACTTGGCTAGGAGGTTCTTTGCTCCTCATCTGTACAGGGTCTCCTGGAGCCCACGATGACCGTAATCTCCTGATTGCCCTGGTTCCATTCCCCAAGTGCCGGGATTGCAGCTGTATACCACCATGGTTGGCTTATGTGGGTCCGGGGTGCACTGTGCTCACTGATCTACACCCCTGGCCCCTTTATTATACCTTTTCTTTGCATGCAGATGTTCTACCAAAACCTGTAACATTTTGAAACTCAGCAGTGGTTTCAAATAGTTTTCTCTGCATTTTCATCCAATTTACTGGCAAAAACAGGTCCCTGGAACTACTGAGAGGCCATTGTATGAAGGAGTCTCGTCCTTAGGGTCCTCGCCATCCTGTGAATATGTCCTGTCCTTAGGGTCCTCCCCTGTGCCTCAAAAGAATGCCCTAGTCCTTTGAACAGAAAGAGAAAAGGCAATTTCTTGCCGTGAAACTCCTGCAACAGTTCTGCATTTTGAAAGCAGATGACGAAAAGACGCAGACCCCATGAGGAAGACACGAAAGCCTCACTCCTTAGTGTCTGCTATGGCTCTATTTATACAACGTCTTATCTTTTAGTTAGTGGTTTTTACTTGCTATCATTATGATAGCATTGGACATTGCAACTCTTTTCCTCTTAGGCACTAATTTTGATCTTCCTGATAGGTGGTTGCCTATGCAAATCTTAATTGTGATGGATAGAACTAGGGACGTGGAGAAAGTCCTACAAAATGCTACAGAATGACGAAGTGGAAAACTGTCAGCTGTCCCCTAAAATAACTCCCTGGACTTTGAAGCTACTTGGTATTCCAGTTAAAGAAACTTGGGCCACAGCGCATGTGACACCACTTAGCAACAATCAAATGAAATAAAATTTCCCGCCATTGTACTAGGCAGGCTGAGCCTGAGCTCCTGTGGGAAGTGGCCACTGGTCTGAGGGTGTAGCGGGTCTTTATCCTGGCACGATCAGGGGCTGCTGCTGAGGGCCAGGGAGAGCAGTGTGAACAGAATGAGCAGGAAGGTTGCTTTGAACCCTTCATTTACAGGCTTGGAAAGGTCTCTGAGGAATCCAAACCAGGTGGCCAGTAGGTGACATTTGGAGTGGGGAAGAAGGCAGGAATGGTCACTGCACTATCGGCAACGTTCAAGCAGGCAATGCCATGGTCTCATCTGGCCCAAAGAGGTCTTCGCCGTCTGTTTTTAACATTCTAGAGCAGAGGCTCTCAACCTTCCTAATGCTGTGACCCTTTAATATAGTTCCTCATGTTGTGGTGACTCCCCCCACCATAAAATTATTTTTGTTGTTACTTTGTAACCGTAAATCTGCTACTTTTATGAATTATAATGTGAATATTTTTGGAGATAGAAGTTTGCCACAGGGGCCACGACCCAGGAGTTGAGAACCACTGGTCCAGAAAAATATGCTCTTCAGAATACATCTGAGGTTTGCTTTGCTGCACAGACTAATAGAAAGCATGGGCCAGAGATGGAGAGATGGCTCAGCTGTTAAAGGCTAACGGGATATGTTGCCGTGCCCCCGAGTGGATGTCTTAATGCCTGTGTCCTCCTGTGGAACTGGGGCCACGGCTCCATCTTAGGGAACACTGACAATGAAGAGCAAAGCCTGACACCTACAGTGCTCTCATTAGCTTGCCCTTAGAAGACAGAAAGCTCGTGTGACAGATAAGCCTTGAGGACTTGTAGTCACCTGTGAACGTCATGTCTTTCACAATCCAGGGACTCCATGGTGACGGAGTGGTTTCAGCCAGCCTCTGGGCACATTTTCAATCAGGAGTAGGTAATTTCACAGTCAGTTAATCTGCTCTGACCCAAAATGTGGTTTCTGGTAACTACAAGTGTTAGTGGAGAGAGTTATTAGTAAGCAAAGGGCATGAAAAAGCTGGGACCAGGCTGCTTTTAGGAGGATTCTGAAGGTGGGAAGGCACAAGGCAACAGAGACTAGGACGGCTTACTAGAATTAGAGCTGAGCATAAATGGTGTTTTGGTTAGCGTTTTGCCAACATTTTTCTAACTCTTTTTAAATAACCACCAAGCCTGAACATCCACAGAGTAATCCGAAGACGTATTTGGAAGGTTAACAGCTAAGCAAGACGTCCCTGCCGATGGCGAAGGCCTGGTTCTCGTGGAGTGTTTAAATTAGAGCCCAAGGGGCACCTCCTTCAGAGGAGAACTCTGCTACTCAGCATAGCTCAGCCACAAACGTGACCTTCTGTCCCTCACAGCTTGAGGAGGTGGACAGTGTGGGCTATCATGGAACTGAGGAAACACGTCAACTTTAGGAAAAATGTATTTATCACGCTTAAGAAATACCATTTGAAACAGGGAGAGTTTAAACGGAGTGCCATTGTGCAGGGCAGTTAGAAAGCCGGAAAACATGTATGAAAACAAGTTAACACACACTCATTAGAAATCGCAGAAAGTCGGCCTTCCTTCTGCAGGGAGAATGCAGAGGCAGAATTTTGCTTCCCACTGAGATCCAGAGTCCCAGAAAGCAAGCAAAGAACTGGGTTTAACATATTTACATCCTATGCCAAGGCGCCTTCAAAACCCTGCGCTAAGAAAAAACTCCTCTCAGAATTTTTTATTTGGTCCATTGAGCTAACAAATCTGTCTCAAAGCCTCCAGCCCCCGCCCCCCCTCCCCAAGTTAGAAGCTGGAGCAACAAACCGGAAGCTCAGCAAGGCATAAATAAGATATTAAAGTGCTTATGTACAATCCTAGACAGGATTTCATTGGGAACAGCAAAACGTCTAGTGCAAAAACTGCTTTTGCCAGCAGACTTCTCTCTCTCTCTCTCTCTGGAAACAAAGGCTTCTAGTAAAAGTTAAAACGGGAGGAGGGGGAAGCGACGCCTGCCTTTAGTCAGGTTGTATGTGTGCATGCGCCAATGGCCCGGACTATATGTTCAGTCTCATGAAAGGCGAAGACAGCCTGAGTTCACTGACTGCAGACAAACTGTCTCGCCAGGTCCCATGAACAGGCTCCTCAGGTGTGTCCCCACGCGACGACTGGGGACAGGATAACTCAAAGTCCACTGGTAACTTGGAAGAGTGTACACAGTTACCTTATCTTTCTTTGTCATGAGAAGCTTGGTTCTTCTCTTGAACCCGACCTTGACTTTGTGCTTTTGGGTCTGAACAGAGACCAGGTATTGTCTGTAGTAATCAGTTAGTTCTCTTGGGCTACATGACCATGGCCTTTTGACTCTCTGCTTTATCCTTTAAAAAAAATTTTTTTTTGAAATTCATAATAAAATAGTTTTGTCCCTTTTTAGTATAATACCAGATGAGGGATTATTCTGCATTTCTTTCTTTTCCTTCAAGGATCCAAGTTGAAAGCTCTCAGGAGGACATCCAAGTCACCAAGGTTGGCTGCCTGGAAGAGTTCTGGCTGGTCCATCAGCGACAGTGCAATTCTAAGGGCAGCCCAGATGTTCCCCGAGATGGCAGGGTGAGGGACTTGCTGCTGGTTCCTGCTCTTTCTTTGCAAACTGAGGGCCGTGAGAAAATTGCTGACCGCTTCTCTAAAAAGAGAGAAAGGCACAGCTTCAGATCCAGTGAACGCCAGAGTCAGCACACTAAAATAAACAGCTGCTTCCCTGCCACGCCCTAGGTCTCTTCTCCAGGGTGAGGGGGCTCCCAGGGATGGCTTTCAGGTTCTCTAGTTACTCTCTTGTGAACAATTATTGTTAAATACAGTGGCCAGACAGGGAGGAGGAAAGTCTGTTTTACTTTGGGAGCAGAAAAGAGGGAGGCTACTTTGATGCATTTCCTCTGTTCAGGGAACGCGACCTGGAGACGTTATCTGTGTGCAGATGTGACCTGTCTTTAAGGGAAGAAACAGCCCTCCTTAAAAGCAAGGTGGTCTAGGCTTGCCTGGTAGTGACTGAAATAATAAGCTTCTTAGCTAGACTGGCTGGCCTTCACTCCCAGGTGTTTAGCCTTAGGCAAATTTCTTTGCAGAGCTTCAGTCTCTAAGTGAATAATAGGGATAGCAGGAGGCATTTTAGGATTTGGCTGTAAAGTACCCTGGAGTCAATTCATATAAAAGCTCTTATGGTTAAGATCAATAGTTCTCCCATGTGGTCTGGGGAGCCTGGGGCTTGTGCGGGCAAATGATTTTCATTATGAAACTGAGAGGCTGGTGACCTTTTTCACTTTCCCCTCCTCAGCTGCTCACCTGCCTACCTACTGCCTGGGGAGGTACGTGAGGCAGCCCAACAGACAGAATACAAAGGCAGAAAGAAACTGGCTCTAGGGAGCAAGATAGTACAGGAATTCTCCAACGCGCTTGGCTACTCTTCTTTCCTGGTACAGTTTGGTTTTGGAAAGTGGTTATTTTCTTGTAAAGCATGTCATTCCTATTGCTATGCAATGTTCTATTACTTTCCAGTGAAGCTCTTAGAGTGCTTTAATTTCTGACACCACAAGTATTGATAGACAAAGCTCACATTAGCTCAAGGCTTTGGTATTTTCAGCATTTGTAGGAAGTACAAAGACATCCTGAAACGAGAGTGGGGGTGGGGGACAGCTGAGCTCCTGGATCTTCAATGGCTTTGCAGCTTTTTGGGCCCATAACTGTACCAGGGCATTTCAAACAATAAGCCACCATTTAATTTTGTCCTCCTTAACTTTATTGTGTTTTAAACAATAGATCCACCATATTTTTTCTTCCCTGACTAATTCTATCTGATGCTGTAGAAGAACTGTATTCTTGGCTTGGCTTTGCCCAACACGGCTCTGAGCCTCCCAAAGTCCCTCTGGCTTTCTCCCTCTCCAAGATTCTTTTTTCCTTAAATGGAAAAATTAAATGTTGGACTATTAATAGTTCATACAGACTTACATGGGTGTTAGCCCCCGAGTAACTTGTCTGAACCCAGGCATACTTCACCTGTAGGCACCCAGGTTGATGCAGCTGATCCCCAGGTTGTATCTGGACCGGATGAAGCCCGGCTGGATCTCCAGGGCTCTCGTGTAGGCCTCCACAGCTTCCTCACTGCGGTCTCCATTAGCCAGGGTTGCCCCAAGACGGTTCCACAAGGAGTAATCCTTATGACAAAGACAGGAGTTACTTAATACCCAGGAGCATCGTGGAGTGCTCCCACCTCTGAGCTTTACAGCCGAAGCGAGATGGCTGAGGGCTTAGTCAGGGCTCATGAACAGGTCTGTAGGGAGGTGAATTATTAAAATTTCCCCCTGGTTCACTGGGTGGAAAGGACTGTCATTCCTTGAAGAGCTGTGGTCACTGGATGTCTTGTATTTCACACTTTCATTTCAGGCATTTTGGCATGGACAGCGGCAGTGGTCTGTCATCTGTCCTTGAACTCACCAGAGGCAGAGATAAAATGAAGGAATGTACCAAGGATCACTTCTGAAAGTTTGTTTGCTACAACCCGCCCCCCCCCATCCCCAAGGTGTTTTGTTGTGCTGGGATTCCTTACCTCTGGCCGAACAGTTAAGGCAGCATTAAATGCATCAATTGCTCTGTTGAATTCCCCGCTCAGGTGGAAGAGAACCCCAAGACCTGTCTGCAGGTCCGGGTCTATCATGTCACCATTTTGGTGGGCAGCTTCCAGGTAGAGTTCCTTCACTCCTTCCAGAACAGAGCTATGAAGGAAAAAAATCTGATTCAGTATCCAGGACGTTGGATCACCTGGAGCCAGAGCTACAGGTGGTTGTGTGGTGTTTGGTATGGCTGCTGGGAACTGAACTTGGGTTCTTTGAAAGAGAACCATGGTCTCTTAACTGCTAAGCCACTCCTCTTGCCCCATATTGAAAAGCTTTTTTTTTAAAAAAATAGTTTAGGGACTAGAGCAACAGCTCAGTATCTACGAGCACTTATTACTCTTGTGGAAGACCTGGGTTTGATTCCCAGCCCCCACATGTGGCTAACAATGGCCTGTAACTCCAGTTCTGGGGATCAATACCCTCTTTTGGTCTCTGCAGGTAACCAGGCATGCATAGGGTACACATAATCTACATTCAGGCAAAATGCCCATATGCATAAAATTAAAAATTAATTGATATATATTTTAGCTTCATGAGAGGACTACTAATACTGGATTATAAAAACAATACAGTCAATCATGAGTCATCACAAATATACAACAAGGCACATATGCAAGCCATGTTACAGAAGGTCCTCATGGGAGAACTCCATTGACCCAGAGTTCCGTCCTTGAAGCTGAACTGACCAATGAGATTCAACTCAGATTTCCTCCAACAAGGGACTTAAGTGTATTCAACCCTAGTTCTCAGGGTATTGGCATTAATTCCAAAGCACCTGAATTTGAAATATGGGTAAATGTCTATAAGTAGCCACAAAGCAGGTCATTGTGTCTAAAGGTCAGCTTCTGAGTTTAGATATGTGTACCCAAAAAATCCAGTCTGTGGTGCTGTGGGGAGGTGGTAGAACCTTTGAAAAGTGGAGGCCTGATGGAAGAAAGTCAGGTCATGGAAGCAGGGCAGGAAGGAGATATGGGGAATCTTGCTATCTCCCCCTCTTCCCCAGCCACCATGAGGTGAACTACCCCCTGGACTATATGCCTTTACTTTGATGTATCGTCCCATCACAGTTCTTAAAACCCTAGGCTAATTGACCATCGTCCAACCCTTTAAAAATGCCAGCTCAAAGGAACCTTTCCTCTGTATAAATTGCTGGCCCCAGGTATTTTGTCATAGTAATAGGATTCGACATAGAATGAGGACAACCTGTCAACTGGGGACTTAGACATCCGCCGAGTGAGGCCTGGAGAGCTCTTCTTGTTCTTTACAAGGTATTTGTACTTTGGGTTCTGCCTAATCCAGTTCTTCAGAGCCTCGCAGGCATCCTGCTGATGACCGGTGTTAGTGTAACTCACAGCCAAAGCCATCAGAGCTTTCAAGTTGTTGGGCTGCAACTCCAGGCATCTCGAGAGAAGACAAAACAGATCAATTATGCAGCCTTGAAGCCCTTATTAATTAAAAATTGCAGAAGTTAAATTATGTCAAGTCACTGGAAAGTACTTTATTTCTCCAAATGAGAACCCAGATCAAAGAGTGTGGTTTTTAAAGAGGCTAAAGCATCCTCATGACAGCTAGATTTGCAACTTTGTGTTTTAAAAATGTTTATTTTATCTTATGTGAGTGTTTTGCCTGCATGTATATCTATGTACCACGTTTGAGCCTGGTACACAGGGAGGTCAGGGGAGGGGCTGGATCCTCTGGAAATGGAGTTTACAAACGGTTGTGAACTGTAGCACCTGCACTACGGGACGGTACGTGAGCAGGGAATGCAGACAGAGACACAAGGACACATGTGTCTTGATACAAGAATGCCAAGAATGCCCGCTTTATTGTGCTCGGGGGCAGCTTATATAGGGCTCTGGTCATGCCCCAGCTCTCAGCCTCTTTCAGCTGCAGACCCACCAGAACCCATTCCCCTGCCATCAGGGTCTCGTGCTCAGAGCAGCTGCAGGGTCTGAGGGTCTGTAGTCCCCAACAGTGAACTACCATGTAGGTGATGGGAGCTGAACCAGGGTCCTCTGCAGGAGCAGCCAGTGCTGTTAAACACTGGGCCCACTTTTTCAGATCTGGTTTTGATAACGTTAATAAACTTTGCTAAAGTGTGGCTGCTATATGATAAAGAGAGAATATTATTTAACTGCAGCTCTATTATCTTAACTCCCCTAAGTTGGACTTGAACAAAATGTTGATGTACAGAGATATAAAATGGCTGTACAATGTTTTGCAAAAGAGAGGGGACTCTGTTTCTAGACTACTAATGCAGGCTTGTACATGTCTCAGGCTATTGTTGCCCCCCTGAGTTCCCTTCTACTGGCCTCCGGCACGACTTTCCAAATTTAAAAGTGCAAAAGAGGGACTTTGTACTACACACATCTAGCACTGGGGGACTGCAGTGGGACCTCACGTGGGAGGGTCCGACAAGCCCCCAGATGATGCACACCCTGGTAGGATCCGCCTACGGCTTGGAGCAGCAAGTTCCCAGGGCTTCAGAAAGGCAGCAGCAAACCCTGAGTGTGCTTCAGAACCCCTGGGAGATTCTGGTGCTAATGACGCATGCTTCCTCAGTCCTAACCAAGTAAATCATGATTTCTGAGAGTGTCCAGGACTCAGACTCTAGGGCATCTTAAAAAAGAATCCCATTGTGCATTTGCATGCAGAGTTAGGAGCCACTGACTCAGTGTGTGCTAGATTTTTGCATCATGGGATGGCGGTTCAAATGCCGTCTGTCTTGCACATGATCTTTGAAGTCTTGGCTTTCCCTAACTCCCAAGGAAATGGCTCTCAGGCAACACCCCAATCAACTTATACTGTGAGATACCAACCACAGTGGGCGAGTCTACACTCTGTCCCTTCTCCAACCTAAGCGATCTCCACCTGCAGTCAGTAATTTAAATGCATTCTTTTTTGAAGAAAACTTCTGGAGTTGTGAAAGGCATTGGAGTCTATTGATTCATTGAGTCTGACTTCAGATTGCTTTTAACACAGACTTTCTTTGGTTTTAGAAACGAGAATTGGTTTGTAGACTGAGAAGCTTTATGGTTTGGGAAATTATCCCATCAGAGCTATGTGTGAGTGGAACACGGCATTCCAGCACAGGCCTTGGACAAATGCTTCCCTCTCCTCTTGGAGAGGAGGTTAAGTTCCGCGCGTCCCCCAGGCCCACAATTTTGCACTTAGCTTCATCTACCTCTGGAGGGCGACAATGGCTGCTTGTTCATTTTCATTCTCTGCCTGGGTTATACCAAGAAACTGCCATGCCTACGAAAACAAAACAAAACAAAATGAAACAAAACGAAACGCCAAACAAACAAACAAAAACCCAAACCAACACAAGAAACACACACACACACACACACACACACACACACACACACACACACACACACCAGACTGTTAACAATGCAAAACGAAGCAGACTGCTTGCCATTTTAGTTAGTTCGGCTGTGATGCCCTGTGGGGAGCAAGCTTAATGATAGGGATGTGGCCTAGAGGGAGGACCCGCCACACACTCCTGCTCTACTCTGAGATGCCTTTCCTCGCTTTGTTTACTCAGCTCCGCAGATGCACCATGAAGCTGTCTTTGTAACTATAGCGCATTTCCCCAGTTCTTCATTCTGTGCCAGGACTCAGTGCGGTTTTGGGAACCCAGTAAAAGGTCTATAAATGTGGGCTGAGTAAACCAGGGGTAAGATATGATGTGACTTGAGACCCAGACAAAAGTCATATTCCTCCATGAAAACCACGGGCAAGCCTCATGCTCATTTTTGATTTATTTATTTTTTAGATGGATACATGGTCTCTGTATGTAAACCAGGCTGGCTCTGCCTGCCTTTGCTCCTCCCTGCGGCGTTGAGATTAAAGGTGTGCACCACCATGCCTGGCTCAGGTTGGCTACTTTTGTTTGTGTTTCCTGTCCTCAATTTTCATCTTTGGAGACTCTGGATCTCAAAGATTAGAAAGTAATTAGAAAGTGGGTGATGGGCAGCTTTCTAACAAGAGCAGCCTGAACCAGGGGACCTGCTTTGTAAACCTTGCTGAAGGTGCACCCTGTAGCATCCTGTCTCATTCCGATGTCTTAGCACACTCAGGCACTTTCCCAGTGTGACAGAGGAAGGGGAATCCCACCTCAGCGTCCCCCGGGTCCTGAAGAATTGCTGCTTCCATGAACAGAATGGTGACAGGCAGGTCCCCTTCCTTCAACCTCTTTAAGCCTTCTTCAAATGCTCCAGGCCAGTCCTTGAAGGGATTCTCGGTGTGAAAGTAATAGCCCTGTGATGCAAAGAGGCTACAATGTGACATGTCACTGTCTTCCTCATCCTTACACCCAGCCCATCTCTGGACAACTTATTGCCTCATTGGGCAATACAGGTGCCCCTACTGAAAACACATCTTTTTAAAAATATAGGTACTTTTCTCTTGTAAGTGTTTAACACAAAATATGCAAGCACTCATCTAGAATGTTCTATGAATATTCAACTTAGAGAGAAGGCTCACACCCAGTCTTTAACCTATACCCTACTTAGTTTTGGATCGTGGTTATCCTGTGTCACTAAAATTATTTATGTAGATATGCTAAATTTATTCACTCAATCCTTATTGAATGACATTTTGGTTATTTAAAAAGTCAGAGTAATAGGGTAGCTCATTCCTGGAATTCTTAACAATGAAGGCTCAGGCAGGAGGATCACCCTGAGTTTGAGATCAGCCTGGGCTACAAAATAAACCAGTGTCTCAAAACTTTTCTCTCTCTTTCTTTCTTTCTTTCTTTCTTTCTTTCTTTCTTTCTTTCTCTCTCTCTCTCTCTCTCTCTCTCTCTCTCTCTCTCTCTCTCCCTCCCTCCCTCCCTCCCTCCCTCCTTCTCTCCTTTTCTCTCTTTTGGTTTTTCGAGACAGGATTTCTCTGTAGCTTTGGAGCCTGTCCTGGAACTAGACCAGGCTTATAGACCAGGCTGGCCTCGAATTCACAGAGATCCGCCTGCCTCTACTTCCCAAGTGCTGGGATTAAAGCATGTGCCACTACTGCCTGGCTTATTTATTTATTTTTTAAAATAAAACTACAGTGAAAACTCCAGGCTTGAGGATTGTTGAAGGCATAAGTCACGAACAATGCCACACCAGTTTGGAATTATGATTAATAGAGTGGTATTTATTTAAAGAGAAAAAAACTTACAGATCACCGTCCCAGACAACAGCCCTCTGCGCAACCAGAAAGGGAATCTAGTCTCCAGAGGAGCAGGAAGTGAAGAGAGCGAGCGGAGGAAGTAGCCGTTTTTTTAAAGGGAGAGAAACCACGCCCCAATGGGCTGGTATCTCAGCAGCTATTGGTTGGAGGGGCGGAAGGACCTCCCGCAACAGATTGTTTTGTACTTGCTTCTTATCTTATGCTAGACTTCGTTAAGGGACACATTAGACAAAGACCACGGACAATTTTTTAGACCATATGGACGTAGCTGGTCTGCTCTGGGGCTAAACTATCTCCTGGAATATTTGAGAATATTATTTGTAGCTGCCTCCCTGGCACAAAGGTTCAGAAAATTCTTCTGCTTTGACTGATACAAACACACCTGGTGATGAAGTTACTATGGTCTAGATAGAACAGTGGAGGCTTTCATTTCCCATGGGTGTGTAGAAAGGTGAGGCACTGTGTCAGCAGCCGAGGGTCTGCTGGTACATGCCGCCATGGGCTGAGTCAGGCCTCAGCTGTGTGGAAGACAGCCTGGGGCCTGGTGATCTCCCTGCCTTACCTAGACCGGATATTCACTTTGTAGGAAAGGCAGTTACTTAAAAAAAAAATATGTTTTGAGATTACCCGACCTCTTAAGGGACAGAGGCCACTGGGAGGAAGAGAGAGACATTTGAACGGCGATGGAAGTTTCCTACACCAGACTGACCGTCACACCCTCCACCTAGCGCAGAGTACATGCTACATAGGATTTGCTGTACTGAGTAAATATCCTGAAAATCACCCAGGACTGAATACTATTGAGACTTATTCCAGATCTCTAAACCACGAGGTAAACTTTTATCCATAAACATGTGTGTATATGTGCATGTGTCTGTACATATATATATATGCGTACATGTATGTGATTTTTTTTTTCTGTTGAAGAAACATCCATTTCTCTGTCTTTCAGGATACTTGTAGTAATTCTAGAGTCTTCCTCTCACTAAGTGATTTTAAAGGCAGAGATCTCAAAGCTGCTAGGAATTAATGAGCAATCTGGTTAGTGGTTCACTGCACTTTCGTGTTTTCCGGGGCTCTTCACGGTGGAGTATCATTGCATAACCCTTTGGGCTTGACCTGGTTGTGTGAAGAGTGTTGTTTTTTTTTTTTTTTTTTTTTTCCCCACTGAGAGTCTTTGCTGACAGTGTGGTAACTCCAGGAGATGCAGCCTGAAGTCTCGGAATCACCTCCTAGGTTTTATACTACCAGGACCGGTGACTGGTGATGAGCCCTTGCGGGTTTGGGGTAGGTAGGTTACAAACTGTGGGACATTTCATTTCAGGCCAGCTACCCTCACATGTCAGAGCTACCCGTTTTCCATCGATTACGGTTTCTTCTAGGTCAGATTGACATCAAATTGCCTTTAATTCTTAGATTTTTCACAAATACTTACTGACTGGTCCAGAACATAGGGTCTGATGAGTATGAAGGCACCCACCAGCATGTGAGGGCAGTTTGACTTACCTTCTCACTGGCTGACACGGTTACTTGGTTCTGGGCTTCTTGGTTCTCCGATATCCAGTTCCTCCGGGCCATTTCTTCCCACTCTGCTTGCATCTTATCCCAGAACTCCGTATCTGACTAAGAGACAGGAGAAACCAAGAGAGTGGACTGAAAAATCACACTGTGTTTGCCTGTGTTTGTTCCTAGGGATACATTTGACTCATAGATCAAATGGAAGAAGGAGGAGGATTTCAGTAGGTGACACCCAGCAGCAGGCGGATCTTCTGCAGGGTACCCATTTGTCAATGTGGATCAGCCTTGACTTTTCATTTTTTTGAAAGAGGATCTCATGTACTCTGGGCTGGCCACAACTCTCTGTGTAACTGAGGATGACTTTGAAGTTTTGATCCTCCTGCCTCCAACTCCTAAGTGCTGGGATTACAGGTGTGCAGTACATTGGGTTTATGCAGGGCTGGGGATCAAACCTAAGGATTTGCACATTCTAGACAAGTGCTCTACCAACTGAACCACATCCCCAGCCCCAGCTAGGATTTTCTCCAACAGAGAAATAGCCACTAACATCATCTATCCCAATGAATCAGCTAAACATACACCACAGTTGTTGCTAAACTTATGACAGAGTCATCAGCAAATACATCCACAGCAAGTTGAAGATACCATAAAACAGACATTAATGGATGTGACCTACTGGACACTGTAGCAGACATTTTAAGAAGGGATCCCTGGACCTGAGTTGCTCTTAGAATATAAAGAATTGGAACAGCACTCTTTGGCTGGCTGGGCAGGGACCTGGGCACAAACAAGGAGAATTGGCTTTATCCTATGCTAAGTACCATGCCGGGAGGAAAGTGAGCATGAGTTATTGCCCCAGTGAGGGAGCCATAGGATTCCAATCCTGCTTAGCATCCAAGCCTACGGTGTCAAGCTTTGCTTTCTGGTACTAAGAAGGGAGCTCATGCTTGGCTCTGCACCTTCATCTTTTCTGTGGCAGGGTGGCTGTATATCAATATATACTTTTAACTTTTAACTTTCCTATTCATATCCTGTCGGGGAAGCCTGGTCATTTACCCTCTTGCTTCATGAAAGGCAGTGTGGATCCCAAGGCAAAACTCTCTGTGAGAGATGCCCTGGATGGCTTCAATGTTATTAAACAGGAAGAGAGTTCTTTAGGTGGCCAGAGCAAGGAGAAATGAGTGAATCTCTCAAAGGATTTAGGGGCCAGTCAAGTACTGTAGGTTTTCTCAGGAGTAGGAAAGATGGAAGGGTTGTGGATTCTGGCTTGTAGGACACTGGTGTATACCTCCTGCCAATTTCCTGGCACACTGACTTCACCTCAAAATCAGGAGTAAGGGAACAGAGAGAGACACTGGCTGGAACCCTGATTCCCGCTGGCAGGGAAACAGAACTAAACTTCTGAAGATCACTTTGGGCCCAGTGGCTGTTAGTTGTGGGAAGATCCTGATCCCTAGCACTACATTAGCCACCGAGACTTTGTGTCCCAGCTCTGCCACTCTCCAGGTACTTGGGAGTCATTTGTTCTCTTTAGACCAAACAGGAGAAGCAGCTGAGGTGTCCCGTGGAGCTGAGGTTCAGGCTCTTCACCTGCACATCTCAAACCATTCTAGACCCTAGAATCTGGTGATCTGCTGACCCACCATCAAGTTGACTGAGGGTAACTCTTTACCCTGCTGGCAGCCTGGCACAAGAACTCTTCCTCAAAGTTGCCTGAATGGTCATCACAACCCTATTTATTTTGGACCCAAATATTTAGGGAATAAGGGTCAGCAAATGTGATTACTCCAAGCTACTGTATCTCTGTGAGTTCTGGAACATGCTTTCCCACCATAGAACTGTGGTCTGCCTGGCAGAGATCTTCCCTCACAGAGGAAGCAGGTGGGCTGACAGCATGTCTGCGATGCTAGAAATGAAGTGAATGACCATCAGGTATAGAGGCTAAGTGGGGGATGAAACAAAAATTTCTTTTTATTGTGTCTTCCTGGTAGACACCAACAAGAATCTCACACAACAGCCACCGAGACTTTGTGCCTTCGTAACACGAGGCAGTACACTGGTACGTCACCAGTGGACAGAGGGGTCAGTGGAGTGCAGGGGTTCTTCTTCAAACTTTGTATTTCCTGCATTTTCTGCGGTAAGTTTTGCTCTTATAACTATTTAGTAAAGTAAAACAACAAAACCCCCACATAAACTGGTTTCCCTTCAAGTTCCTTTAAGCCTTATTATGATCAAATACTGAGAAGTCTGGAGGGAAGATGAGGGGGCTGTTTTCTTTAACGGTTTCTCAAAGACGCGGGTTCAATCCATCGGCAGTGGAAAAACAGAGCTTGCTAAGGGAATCATACAATGCTTTGCTGATTGGCATTACCCACCCCATCCAGCATTTGAGAGGCCAGAGTCTCCACAATGTTAGGAAGCCAGACACTGGAGAGTCCTTGGGGTTTGAAGCATTGTATAATCTGAATGGTAGAGAGAGGGCTTTCCTATGCCTATGCCTGGGTCACCTTTCCTGTGTTCCACACCAGAGGAGTTTGTGTGTAAATTCTACCTCCATAGGAAACAGACCTTAGGTGAGGTGGGGCTGCTGGGCTCCCGTTAATGAGATTCAGCAGGATTTACTGTTTCCACTTAGAGTAAGTCACAGCCGACTAATTAGCGGCAGAGCACAGTTTTCACTTAATTACAGAATACTTTTAGCGCCATCAATTTCCACTCAGTCTCAGAGCCCAGACTTTATTGCAATAGCTGCAATTAACGCAGCTCCCTACTTCGTTTTTAATAAAGTCAAGGAAAACCTCCAACGTATTTGAATTTTAAGCATTTTAGACACAACCAAGGGATTTTATTATTTACTGATGATTTCCTTAGCTCTTCTGGGCTTTCAGTAGACTATTTTTTTCCAGAATTGATGTGTAACAAGTTAATCTGCTTATACTAAGTAGTGGTTTGAAGGAGACTGGCCCCCATTGGCTCCTATTCATGGTTCCCAATTGAAAGAGTTAGGAGGTGTAGTCTTGGAGGAGGTGTGTCACTGCGAGGGTGGGGCGGGGGTGTAGGGGTGGGCGCTTGGAGGTTTCAAAAAGCCCATCTCATTCCCAGCTAGCGCTCTCTGCCTCATGCGTGTGGATCAAGATGTGAGCTCTCAGCTTCCTCTCAGGTGCCATGCTCCTTGCCATGGTGGTCATGGACTCTCACCCTCTGAAACTTTAAGCTCCAAATAAACTCTTCTATAAGTTGTCTTGGTCATGGTGTCTCAGCACCATGAACCACATTTGAAAAACTATTAAGGCACACTAGAAGTAAATTATTGTTGGGAACTTCCAATGATATCACCAGAACACATTCAAAAGTTAGTCATCTTTATACACAGGTATTGATTAGGAAACCAGCATTGCCTTCCGACAGACATAGGGTCAACTCCTTACTCCACGTGTGACTGTCTGCCAAGTGCTTTCGGCTCTCTGGATGTCATCTTCCTTATTCTTGAAATGAAGGTAACAATAGAAAATCGGGTTATTTGTTCTGATCACTAAATGAGAATGATGTCAGTCTACATGACAAGCCAGCCCCCAAGGGTAGGCACTGTCTCGAAAGAGGGGACAGAAAGATTGTAAGAGACAGAAGTTGGAGAGGACTGGAGTGAAACAACGCCTTCCAGACATGGCAGGGCTGCTTCATTCATGAACTTGCGGCAACCGTGGCTGACTCACGTGATCAAGCCATCCAGCCTTCCAGCAGGATGGAGGCAGAGGCTCACCAGCCTAGCTCCTAACTGAGGAACGGTGAAGAGCTCATGGCTTCTGGGGCTTTGAGAGTCAGTGTTCTCTAAGGGTGTGGCCCCTTGTAGGTAGACCGTGCTCCAGTGAATGGCCCCGACTAGTCAGTGTATCAGCAGCATGAACTAGTGGGAAAGGATTGACGGGTTACAGGGTGGAGAGGAGGTGGACAGGATCCAAAACCATTATATGGACATATGAAATTCTAAGCATAACTTAAGTATTATATTAAAAAGTAAGTGTTCTCATTGTGATTTTATGTCACTGAGAAAATCAGTGTGATAATTTTTTTTTACAACCTCAGAGTTCAAGTATCTATGATATATGTTGTTTGGTGTTTTAATTTCCTGTAAAAACCCAATTCCTCTTCTAGACACTTCTTTCCATTTAAATCTTTGTTTTTCATCTAATTATTCAAAACCTAAGAGCAAGGTTAAGACAATTACGGCAGAATGGGCTGCTGGGTAGCAATTAAAGCCATGTTTAGGAGCGGCATCATAAACACCGAATGGTGTTGTGTAACTTTCCCCAGGGCTGTGTGTGCAGGCTGCAGGAAAATGCCTGCAGATCAGTGTGCCAGCAGCGGTACCTTTATGGGATGAGATTAGAAGGAATTTACCTCATAATCTTTTCTTGTACTTTCTAGAATTTTCCAATTATTTTTATTGCTAGTAAACCTTTTCTTTCAATGTTTTTTTTTTTTAAAGAAAGCTTAATTGTTTCAATTATGTTCCATAATAATGTCTTCTTCAATGGCCTCATAGTGTGTCGGTCTCTTTCTCTGTTTGATGTGTATGTGTGCAGGGCTTGTGTGTACATGTGTGTGCATGTAGGGGGCAGAGACTGATTGATGTCCACTGTCTTCCTCAGTTGCTCTCAACCGTATTTGGGGGGATAGAGTTTCTTACTTGCTTACTATGTTGGTTGGCCAGGGAGTCCCAAGGGTTCTCCTGCCTCTGCCTCCACAGCCCTTGGAATAAGGCATGTGGCATCCAGCTTTTCCATTGTTCTGAGGACTTGAACTCAGTTTCTCTTGCTTGCCTGGCAGGCATTTTACTGACTGAGCCATTTCCCTAGCCCCGGGAATTCCTTCTGTGTAGGCATCCTATGTTGATGGTTTGCAAGAAGACAGATGTGTACTGTGCATGTGTGTGTGTATGTGTGTGTGTGTGCATGCTGACATGTATGAATATATGTGGCAAGTGTGCATGTGTGTGTGTGTATGGGTTCACGGTTTTTGGAATATGGCTTGGAAAAGGCTTAAATTGGTACCTAGAATGTGGAGGTGGAAATGAAAATAAATCTTTGAACGTTTCTGAGAAAACT